TCCTCTGTCCTCTAATTAGTGTTGAGGCAGAGCTATTTCGCTTGTTTGCTTTGTTTTGTTTGGTGTGTCTGTGCATATTTGTGTGTGTGTGTGTGTGTGTGTGTGTGTGTGTGTGTGTGTGTGTGTGTGTTGCTGCTGCCGAGTACGGAACACGGGCACTTATTCATACTGAGCAAGTGCTCTGCTGCTAACGTCTTTCCTGGCCATTGAAGTTTCTCACTTGGTGTCCTTTCTGTATGGATTTCAGTTCATCAGAAATTGCACTATATGCACTGTGACTGCTGCTAATCCCTGTGCTCGCAGGATGAACTCAAGGGGGCACAGACATAACTGTGAAGAGAGCTCTGCAGCCTCCATGTCTCCTATCCATTCGACTCTGGGGCAGAGCAGGGACCCTGACCCTTAGCTCCCAGTAGCCTGCATCTTTTCGTGTTCTGGCTCAAACTCTCCATGCACTCATTATGTAAGGTCAGAGAGAACGCTCAGCCGAGCCAGCGGCTCAGATCTACACCCATGCAGATGGTGCCCACCAGTGAGATAGAGGCCACCTCTTTCCCGTGTCAGGCTGAAAAGTGTCTCCCATCGTCTTCAGGGTCCTCAGGTCTGTGTGTTTGCAAACTCACTCGCCAGGTGATGGGCTCACTGAGTCTCCACTCCACCGTCTCACCAATCACAAGTCCTGTTATTTCTCATTACATTTCTTGGTAAATAAACACCCAGTCTCAGAGCCTTTAGTTCCATCTCCGGCTGAGAACTCCTCACAGTCGTCTGATCCAGGTCTCTCTCTGACTCTAGCTACCTCCACAGATGCTAAGGAGCCCTTGTGTCTCCATAAGGGCATCAGACATAGCCATGGCTCTTTCTGTTCCTCCCCTTCTTGGTCCATGCCTTTTGTGGTCCAACCTTTCCACCAAATCCCTTGGATTCCCTTGTCTCCCAGTCTCTCTGTTAGGAAGTCTTGTTGGCTGATGGGAAAGGTCATTCTGAAATCTGTCTCTTATTGGTTGTTCAATAAAGCACTGTTGACCAATAGGGAAGCAAGATAGGTGGGACTAGGAGTCGAGGAGGATTCTGGGAAAGAGGGGCAGGGAGAGACAACCATGTAGCCTCTAGAGGAGTAAGGGGGCCAGACCCTTTTCTCCCGTAAGAGAAACGCTCAGATTAACAATTATGGGTTAAATACTTAAGTCAGAGCTAGCCAGTAAGAAACCAAGCAAACGGCCAACAGCTTCATAATTAACATAATGTCCTGTGTGTTATTTGGGGACTGTAACTGTGGCAGGGCCCAGGTAGATGGCGGGGAAGGCTGCACTCTACAGTTGGCCTTGCCTTCGTGTTACCATCCGGTAGCCTCTGAGTACTCTTCATGGTTATGCAGACTGCCATCAGTGTTCCACTGGGACATGCCCTCGACACGTCCGCCCCCTCCATGTATGTCTGCCTCACTCCACGGGGATGCCGTGAGGTTACCTTGTTCCCGCAGCCTCATGACCTCACAGCCTGTGTGACCCGCACCTTCCTGCCATCCCTTTCCACCATAGTGCCTTTGCACTGGGCCGTTGCTTCTACCAGACTCCTCCCCTCTTTCCCAAGGCTCACCCTAGCCACGGTGTCATGACAGCCGCTGGCCTCAGCCAGTGCAGCCGGTGTGAACCGTGTTCTGCATTCTCACTTTCCGTAGTAGGCCCCAGAACACACCATGCAGATCCCCTAGCCACACTTAGCCGGTCAGATGGCCTCTCCAGACCTCCCAGACAGGATACCGTGAGGGCCAAGGGGCCACACTGTGTAACAGCACTCCAGAGTCCTGCTTTGCCAACTGCCGTGGGCCAGACAAGGGTGAGGAGGTACAGGTGAGATAAAGGTTTCTTATTAACCACAGCTGGTTTTCTAGAAACACTGCAAGTACAATCAAGTATGTCGGCACCAAGAGGATTCACAGATGGGAACCCGACCAGGGCGCTTTGACTGAGTTGGCCCCATTGTCCCTAGTCGGTGTGGCACTATCCCGTAGGGGTGACCTCGCTGGAAGAAGAATGTCACTGGGAGCAAGCTTGGAGGTTTCGAAAGTCAAGCGTCATTCCTAGCTTGCTCTCTGCCTCTCGCTCGCCGCTAAAGATGTGAGCACTCGGCTTCTGTCCCACCTACCGTGTCTGCTGCTTGCTTCCATGATTCTCACGGATGGAGTCTTATCCCTCTGAAGCCATAAGCCCAAAGACACTCTTCCTTCTAGAAACTGCTTGGTCATGATGCTTTATCACAACAATTCGGGTTAACAATACACTGACCAAACACACGGTGCTCAGATATTTGATCATTTGGGTCCCAGTTGATTCAATATTTAGCAAGGATTAAGAGGTATAGCCTTGTTGGACGAAGTATGTCACTGGGGATGGGCTTTGAGATTTCAAATGTCAATGCCAGGCCCAGTCTCTCTCTCTCTCTCTCTCTCTCTCTCTCTCTCTCTCTCTCTCTCTCTCTCTCTCTCTCTCTCTCTCTCTCTCGTAAATAAAATGTAAGCTCTCATCTACTGCTCCAACGCTATGCCTGCCTACCCCCATGCTACTGTCAACAGTGGCTGTAACTCACCCCTCTGAAATTGTAGGCAAGCTCCCAGTTAAATGATCTCTGCTATAAATTGATTTGGTCATGGTCTCTTCGTAGCAATAGAGAAGTAACTAAGAAAACAAAAAGAGGTGGGAATGGGGGGACCTGGAGGGGGATAACAGGGTGGAATGAGTAGACAAGTGGGGATGTAAGTAGAAGGGGGATGGGGTGAGGGTTATGAGGAATGGGGGTGCGGGTAAGATGGGGAAATGAGGGAGACAGGGGAGGGTAAGGTGAAGGGGCCTCTGTGAACGAAACGGAAGGGGAGATGAGATATGAGGGTGAGGTGGGGGAAATGGGGAAGTAAAGCGTGAGGGGTTCGTGAGGAGGGAGAAGGAAGAGACGAGGCAGTGATGTCCACCCTGAAGATAGGGGACGGCTTCTTGGACGCCTCTTTGTCTGCTTTCCTGTGACCTTGCACTTTGTGGTAGGCCCTAGTCCCAACAAGGAGAATCCCTGCAGCTCAGCGTTAATAGGGCGATGCAACACTGCTATGGGCAAACCTAACAGACCCTTGTGTAGCTTCTGACACTACAGTCTTTTACTCTCTAAGAATTCCACACATTATAAAATACATTTTGATTATATCCATCCCCGCTAACCTCTCCCCAACTTTTCCAGGATTCCCTGGCCCATCTCCCCTACAACTTTGGGTTTTCTGTTTTTCATCATCATCATCAGTCCCTGGGTCAAACTAATGCTGACCACGGGTGCATGAGTGTGTTACCGTGCACCGGGCATGAGCAGCATCCATATTACCAAAGGAAAGTGACTCCCTCTGTCCTCAGCCATCAGCTACCAATAGCTTCACCACTAGAGTGGGGCCTTGTGGGAGCCCTCTCCAATCTGTGCAGGAATTTTGGCTGGCTTGACTTTTTCATTTTTTTGGCAAGGCTTGTGCAAGCAACCACAGCTGCTGTGAGCTGATGTGTGCAATGGCTAGGTCATTTCCAGAAGTCAGTATTTCACAACCTTCCTACTCATCCCCTGGCTATTACATTCTTTATGACCTCTCTTTTTTTTTCTTCAATGTCCCCTGAGCCTTGAATGGATGGAAATAGGTAGAGACGAGCCATCTAAAACTGAATACTCACGTTTACTTATCTTGGCGCTCTGACCTCTTAGGAGTCTCTGTGTTGACCATGCTACCCGCTGCAAAAAGACGCTTCTCTGGCAAATCTTGGGAGCAGCATGAATTTATGGCAATAGGCATATTGAGAAGGCAGTTTGACAGCACGACCATTCAGTGAAACACCAGCAGGTTCCTCACCATATGGCTTATGGTCTCCCCAGTCATAGGCTCTTGACGAGGTTCACGGTGCCAGACATGAAATCTCCCCTGTGGAGAAGACCTCAAGTAAGAAAGTAGTTGGTTCCCCCATAAAGATCATGCCGCCGTTGCGTTAGTGGATACAACTTGCCTAGCAGATTGGTATTACAGCAAGATGCAAACTTTTTATGTTCTCCTATAAAGACTTTTAATCCGGGCTTCATGTTGTCCAAGCTTGCTTCGGACTCTCTATGCAGTGAAGGCTGCCTTGAACTCCTGATCATCCAGCCACTACCTCCTAAGCCCTGGGATCGCAGGCCTGTGCCACCGTACCTGAAAAAAGTCTTCATTGTACCATAATCTTGAGGTCTGGTAGCAGTAGCTACGCCTGTTTTAGGACTTTTTGACAAAAATAAAATTCACTGGTATATTCTCCGTTTTCATGCAAGAATTAATTTTACCAGAAAGTACAGAGCAGGTGTGGCCTCGAGCATGTAGGGTGGTAGAGCCTATTCAAGTATCCTGCCAGCTCCTGGTTTTCTCTCTGATGACCACACACACACACTTTCTATAGCAGTACCTATGGGCCTTCCATCCAATATCTGATGATTGCACAGATGTTAGATTCCAACCATAGAGCCTACTAACCTAAGTGTCAGAAACAAAATTGCAAGATGCAGGCACTCTACAAGGAGAGACCGCCTCTCTGTGTAACCGGTCATGTACCTTTGGTGCCAAGTTATTTCCCATGAGTTCAGATGCGTGTGTCTACCTGGTCTTGTTTGGAAATGCATTCCTAGAAAATTGTCACATTCCTACTCCACTAAAGGGTCCCCACAAGTCCCACTCATACTGGCCTTCCTTTTTCTTGGCCCTGATGGTAGTAGCCAGTACAATTCCCTTTGAAATATTTCTTTACAAATATTTCTTACAAATTTGTAAGAAAAGACAGATGATCAAAAATGGAAATCCTTCTGGACTCCAGATGGACATAGGATCATACAAATGACCCTGACTCCTGTCTTCCAACACTCTGCATGGGTGAGAGATTGGACCTCAGAATGTCCTGTTTCCCTCTGAATTTGACTAGTGGCTTACAGATGTGTTTTTTATCTCTTTGTAGATTACGTTTTATATTCTGGTGAAGGCCATTTATACCTTGGGCTACAGTGTTTCCCTGATGTCTCTTACAACAGGAAGCGTAATTATCTGCCTCTTCAGGTAAGGAGAAAAACCAAGCAGCTCTGCAAACAGTAAGAAACCAGCAAACTTTTTACCTGTACTTTTTTTTTGGTACCACAGAGGGTTAGGATCCTGATCTGGAGTCCTTCCATGTGCCATGATAGAGCACCATCGGGGCCTAGAGAGGCAGATCAGCAGTGAAAAGCACTTGCTCTTGCAGAGGGCTGGGACTCAGCTCCCAGCACCCATATTACATCACACAACCATCTGTAACTCCAGTTACAAGGACTCAGTTGCCTTCTCCTGGCCTCTGAAGATTCCCATACATGCATGGTACACAAAAACTCATTTGGTTACACATATGCACAAAAATAGATGATAGATAGATAGATTGAAGATAGATGATAGATGATGAGATGATGAAGATAGATGATAGATAGATACATAGATACAGACATAGATACATAGATACATATAAAGATACATAGATAATAAAGTAATATAATACTGACATTTACTTTTTATGTACACACTTTGCATTTCTTATGTAAGCAGGTGATGTTGCCCTTTAGCTCAGCTACCACCTGTTAAACAATTAGGTGTTATGCGAAGACATGGAACTATGAATACATGATGATCTTGTCCTTGCCCCTCGGAAGCTGCTGGGTGCTCTATGGAGATGTGTTGTATCTAAGAGCTTGAAGACAGGAATCACACTGAATGGGTTCAAATCCTCTTTAGCCTCTTTGTAACTATGTGACCTTGGACAAATTGTACAACCCCTGCGTGCATCTATAACATGTGGATACAAACTGAAGCATTTGAGAGGGGCCCTTGAAGTTGGAGTGCCGTCGTCGATTAGAAGAGCTTGGGTAGCACAAACCTAGGACAGGAGCCCTGCAAACCGGCATGCCTGCCCTTTCTCTGGTAGTGAAGTCAGATAGTACCCCGTCACCACCGGGGCCCTGCTCAGGTCTCAGCTGTGATCAGCGGTTGTTCAGGGTGACAGCTGAGAACCTCAGTCCACAGGAGAACCCTCAATAGGAAAAGCAGATAGCCCTGTGGGATGGTCACACTGAGCATTGTGAGCATTTGGGGTGAGCTCCTGTCACCTCTGTCTTCTTCTCTCTGCTGAGGACAAGCTCAAGTGTTGCCACTGTGTGAGATAAGGTCATTAATGGCCAAGGGGACATTTCTGTCAACAACCAGTGAAGGGGTGGGGCATGCTGGGGGACACAACTTAGAAGCCCAGCAACCACAGACGAGTCACACTTTTCCTCCTCCGGGGGTGTTAACGTGACTGGCACATTACTATTTGTTAAATTATCTCCGTGTTCTTACTTTTTTTTTAAAGAGGAGACTATAAAGAAAGGAATCCAAGAGAAATAAGGTGCTGTGGCGTAGACTGGAGAGTGTCTGTTTATTTTCCCCATGTTGAACCAGCCGCTCTCAAGCCTGAGTCCCTCCACATTTTACAGTGTGGCACAGTCAGCCAAGCCAAAGGCCTTTGGAACTTGTGCTGGTGATTTTGACCTTCCAGAGAATCCGCAATAGTTTGCTTTGTGGGTGGCCATACCGTGTTTCAGATGTGAACACAACCCCTGCCCGTTTCAGACCTCTGTGGTTGGAAAGAACCATTTTCCCTGGATGTCATCTTGCTAGTGGCTACTAGTACTGTATGCCAGGTACAGAATCCAGAGCCCAGTCACTTTGGGGGTTTCTTTTTTATCCCACACCTCAGAGCCTTTGGCTCGTGCAACCTCTTGTCTGTCAGAAAGTGATTCTCAGGGCACTTCCATGGAAAACTGAGGAGGAGGTCGACTCTAAAATTTGTAATATGAAAACAGCATGTTCCACTGTCCTAATTTACCCAGGGAAATGAGATTATTTGTAGTTGCCAAACATTTATTCTCCCTAATACGCCTTTAGAAAAACAAAACCAGAAACATTGGGTAAGCAAATTCTTAACTGACACGGAGAAATGGAGCAGCTCACGTCCTATGTCAGGTCCAAAACTGCAGCATAGACCCTCCACGCACATGCAGGGGCCTCAGTGCACTATAGAATCACCACAGAAGTGTAGCTGTGATCCAAAAACACCGCAGACAGCTCCTACCAACAGGAATCACTACACTGTATCTCATGGGCACGCCTTCATCCAAAGAGTGAGTTTCACCATCCCGAGTTTCATCCGGCAGAACAAAGGCCATCGGTTACTAGACACTTGAGGACTGAAGACCTGGTGATGGCAAAGCCTGTGCAGACAGGTTATCGGCATTGCCTATATGCACCGTGTCTACTCTGGACGCCTTGAGCGAGCCACCACAGCTCTGCTTAGCCAGGAGTGCACTTGGAGTGACACTTGACAATGACCTCTTGGTGATGGCCCCGCCCTGCTGTCGGCAGAAGTTTCCAGCAATCCCATAGGTGTTTAGTCCCACATAAATACACAAAGGCTTATATTAATTATAAACTGTTTGGCCGATGGCTCCGGCTTCTTAGTGGCTAGCTCTCTCTTAAATATTAACCCATTTCTACTAATCTATGTATCTCCTTGTGGTCTTGGCTTACTGGTGATGCCTGAAACCTCTTGCTCCCTCAGAAGCTACATGACATCTTCCTCAAGACCCACTCTCTGAGTTCCTGTTCCCAGAACTCTCCTAGTCTGGTCGCCCCACCTTAACTTCCTGCCTGGCTACTGGCCAATCAGCATTTACTCATCAACCAATAAGAGAAACATTCATAGCATACAGAAGGACATCCCCATCACTCTATGGAAACTGGGGTGAGCAAGGAGCAAGGAACAGGAAATAATAGGGAAGGGAATGGGATTTGGAGACATGAGAAGCCATGGGGGGGGGTGGCGCAGAATAGCATCACAGGAGGAGGCGATGTTGAAGGGAGATACCTTCTGTGTTCATACACCTGACCAGTCCGTCAGGAATCACTGCTACTGCACAGAGGTCCCTGCAACCCCACAGCGTGCTAGGATACCACAGGCAATACTGTAGACACAGTCTTGTATTTCATGTGCTGAACCAAACACTTCTTAGTAACATGGGCATCCCATTTTCCTGAGGAATCTCCATACTGATTTCCAAAGTGGCTGTACAAGTTGGCACTCCCACCAGCAGTGGAGGAGTGCTCCCCTTTCTCTACATCCTCTCCAGCATAAATTGTCATTGGTGTTTCTGATTTTAGCCATTCTGACAGGAGTAAGATGGTATCTCAAAGTTGTTTTGGTTTGCATTTCTCTGATGGCTAAGGATGTTGAGCACTCTCTTAAGTGTCTCTTGGCCATTTTAGCCTCCTCTATTGAGAATTCTCTATTTAGTTCTGTACCCCACCTTTTAATTGGATCCTTTGGTGTTTTGGAGACTTGCTTCTCGAGTTCTTTGTAAATTTTGGAGATTAGCCCTCTGTCAGATGTGGGGTTAGTGAATATCTTTTCCCATTCTGTGGACTGCCTTTTTGTCTTGTTGACTGTGTCCTTTGCCTTACAGAAGCTCCTGTAAGAGGTCCCATTTGTTAATTGTCAATCTCAGTGTCTGTGCCACTGGTGTTATGTTCAGGAAGTGGTCTCCTATACCAACTCATTGAAGAGTATCTCCCACTTTCTCTTCTAAGAGTTTCAGTGTGGTTGGATTTATGTTGAGATCTTTAATCCATTTAGACTTAAGTTTTGTACAAGGCGATAGACATGGCTCTATCTGAAGTCTTCTGCATACCAATACCCAGTTATGCCAGCACCATCTGTTGAAGATGCTTTCCCTTTTCCATTGTATAGTTTTAGCTTCTTTGTCAAAAATCAAGTGTTCATAGTTGTGTGGGTTAAGATCAGGGTTTTCAATTTGGTTCCATTGGTCTACCTGTCTATTTTTGTGCCAATACCAAGCTGTTTTCAGGACTATAGCTCTATAATAGAGCTTGAAGTCAGGTATGGTGATGCCTCCTGAAGTTCCTTGATTGTATAGGGTTGTTTTAGCTATCCTGGGCCTTTTGTTTTTCCATATAAAGTTGATTATTGTTCTTTCAATGTCTGTGAAGAATTGTGGCAGAATTTTGATAACAATTGTATTTAATCTGTAGACTGCTTTTGGCAAGATTGCCATTTTTATTATGTTGATCCTATCAATCCAAGAGCATGGGAGATCATTCATTTTTCTTTGATTTCTTTCTTTAAAGACTCAAAGTTCTTGATATACAGGTCTTTCACTTCCTTGGTTAACATTATCCCCGGATATTTGATGCTGTTTATGGCTACTGTAAAGGGTGATGTTTCTCTGATTTCTTTCTCAGCCACTTCATCATCTATATATAGTAGGGCCACTGATCTTTTTAGTTAACCTTGCATTCTGCTTCTTATATGCTGCCTGTTTCGACTGTCAAGTTGAGACACAGCCCCCCCACCTCCTATAGCACCTACAGCTTCCGTGTGCTATCCCTAAGGAAATGCTTTCCTATTGACCTGTTGAAGCGCTGAGGAGGTCACCTCAGTGGTGCTCACCTCTTGCTGATCGCGGCTGATTGATTGTTCAGCCATAGCTGAGCCAGAAGCTACAGAGCCTCGGCGTAAAATATCACAAAAAAATGGCCCCAAGGAAGTCTTTACTCCCTTCTGAAACCTCGGAAGCCCTACAGGTCCCCTCCCGTTGTCTGCATCTCTCTCTCTGCCTTCTCAAGCTCTCTGAACACTCAACAGCTTCTTTAGCTCAAACGTTGAACCCTCCCTGTCCGCGCTCCCCCAAAACAATCATCAGGTTGTCATAACAACCTCACCTCTCCAGTAGCAATGTTGTCCTAGTTCAACCTCTGTTACCGTAGTAAAAGCCATAACCCAAATCATGTTAGGGGAGGAGAGGGTTATGTGGCTTCCAGATACAGGTCACAGCCCAGCATTGAGGGAAGCCATGGCTTCATGAACTCTCTCAATTGGTAACCTGAAGCCAGAAACCATGGAAGAACATGCTTGCTCCCTTGCTCCCGGGACCCTTCTCTTCAATAACCGTGGGTGGGGCCATTCCACATCAGTCATCAGG